GCAGTTTATCAGTAATCACACTTGTAGGGCTATGAAGAGATTTCCCAGCATTTTTTGAACACTGACCAGTTGCAAATATGATATTTATTTACAACAATTCAATAATAAGAAGTTAATATTGTGGTATATATTAGACACAATATTGTCTGATTTTGCTAAATTGTGTAAGTGAAAATATTACATATAAAGCCACAGAAGAACTGTTGTGCGTCTCCTAATAAAACACAAAAGGTGTTGGACTTGAAGCAGCACTGCATAGACTGTTCTGTGTGTGACATCAAAGTACCACGAGAGAGTGATTAGACAGCATTTAAAAAAAATGTTTTTTTTGTTTTGATGTTAAATAAGTCTTGCTGTTAAAGCAGTGTTGCTGTTGTAAAGTTATACAACTACAGTTGTGTTGCTGGGTTTTAAAGTAGGTTTGATTTTTTCCCCCCTTTTTTATCACCTCTGTATTTACAGGATTTCACTGTCCACTCTGTTCAAATGTAGATTAAAAGCAAGTACTTCTGTACTTTTACATAAGTACAAATCTGTCTTTACAACTTTTACTTGTAATGGAGTAATATTTGACCAGCAGTATCTGTACTTTCACTCAAGTAATGGACTTGAGTACTTTGTCTGCCTCTGGCCGTCGCCGTCCACATTAGTTAGATTTTATAATTTGGACATCCCTGCCTTGCAGGCATGGATCTTATACATTTAAACTGCTGGTTTCTCCCGGAGGCTCTTATGTTTCAGGGGCCCTTAAATTAGTGATTCTAAACTGGGCTCGTAGAGCAGATCGTTATGTTTCTGCTCATAGCATGGCGTGATTGGATATTGTTCCCATAACACAACGTGAAGTGAACGTTCGATAGGAAACGCTCCGGTTACTGACGTAACCTCGGTTTCCTGAGCTAAGGGAACGAGCGTTGCGTCACTTGCCATACTATAAGCTGCACGCAAATCGATGGCTGTCGCTTCAGTCGAAGTGATTCTGATGAAATGCTGCAGTGAGCCGACTTACATAGAGGTCGGTTCCGCCCTTTCTGGCGGGCTAAAGCGCCATTGGTTTGTGCAGTTACACAAACGTTAACAAATCAGGCTTCAATAACAGGGTAAACAGGAGGATAACCCATAATGCAACGCTCATTCCCTTATCTCAGGGAACCGAGGTTACGTCAGTAATCGGATAATTTTCTATGGTAATCAACAGCAGTCCACAGATGTTGTCAATAAAACTTAAGATGTATTTAACCAGAAAGTTTCCTTTAATCGCACTATGCAAAAACATACCGCGACTTTGTCCTCCAGTGGCGGGGTTTCTTTAAAAAAAAAAGGCAGATGAAACAAATTACACTATTTAAAGGACTGCAGTTCAAAACTATAAAAGCCTGAAGGTTTGAACAAATTAATGTGATACATGAGTGATAAAGGGAGGAACAGACTTACCTGGACTAAATGTTGTGTCTGTGTTACATCATTTAAATGGAAAGAAAAATGGAAATGGATTATGTAGTGATATATAACATTCTATAAACATCACAACATTACATTACATTACACAACACCTCATTATCATAAGAAATTATATTTTGCATAAAGAAAATGAAGTCTCTTTTTAGAACTATAAAGTTTTTTTTTTTGCATTGTGCAATTATTTTCATAGCAATTAAGCACAAACCCCCTAATGGCAGTAGTCTACTTACAGTTTTTTTCACCTGCTTACACTCAAAATCTTTACTTGTCACACAATTTCTGAAACCTGACACTCAGACACAACCACACACCAAATCTGCAAAACCATACACTAATTCTTGGCCTTTTGTCTCAGTTTTCAATTTCATAAAACACTTTTTGCAAAACACAACACACAATTCTGTATGTAACACACAAACATCTAACAGGAATTCATATTATGGCACAGGTGTTTGCAAATGTTTGCTTTTGAGATGTGTTTGTGATATTTTGAATGCAGTGCTTCATTTTGCATTTCGTGTGTGCAATTCTTGGATTTGTATGTAAAGTTTAAAAAAAAAAGAGGCAAAAAAAGTTTTGAAATTGTGTGTAAGCAGTTGAAAAAAACTGTAACATTTCTCTAATTAATAGTATAATATCCAATAGTCTTTGTACTAAACATTATTTACAATAATGATTTAAAATAATTAATTGTATCCAAACAGGAAGATTTTCATGAGTTCAGTATGAAATTAAGAATAAGAGGTTTTCACAATATAGTAAATAAAAAAGAAAGAAAGATAGAAAGAAAAAAGGAAAAAGAAAGAGAAAGAAAGAAAGAAATATTTATTTGGGGGGGAAAATGTGCTTAATTTTTTTAATAAATAAAAAAATACTGTCACAATGTTAAAAATCTTAAAAGTCCTAAAATGGATTTCTGTTTTTTTTCTTATGAATATAGGGTGAAATTTTTGGGTAAAATTTAATTCAACTAACTTTATTATATTTAAAATTGTACTTGCTTTAATTAACCAAAATATTGTTTTACAAGATAACTCACCATAATAGAACACTCCCTCTGTGGAAACAAAAATATGACAGATGTTTGATTGTGCACATTAATAGGCTGTATTATTTATAATAATAAATCAAATAAAACATACATTTTAGAGTGATGCAGGAAAACCCAAGCCCACCTGTCCCTGAGTGGTCCACATCAGGTATGTGCATGAAGTGCGCCGACACGTTTCCCCTGTCCTCTCCGAACTCATTGCTAGCCACCAGCGTGTAAATGCCATTATGGATATGAGTGGGAATGTCCAGCTGCAGACAGCCGTGGTACTCCGTATCCGTGATTTCATGGATTTCAGTCCTGATGTACTGCTGCTCCTCCAGCAGCTTACCCTCATGGTACCAGTGCAGATCAGGCCTCGGGTTGCCCGTCACAGTGAAAGGGATGCACCAGTCCTGGTTCCTCACGGGCTGGTACAGCTGCACGATAGTAGGGGGAACTGACCCAGGAGAAAGAAGAAGGGGCAGAGGAAAGAGAGAGAGAAGGAAAGAGGGGAGGAGGAGAGGAAATGTAATAACAGGATGTACCAAAGGAGTAAACGAGAGGAACATGGAAAATTTTGCTGTAGTTTGACGAAAGGAAAGTGTCTGACAGGCGTGACAGCACATGGGATGAAGGGGCAGTATAGAGGGATTCTAGGGTGAGAAATACAAGAGAATGACAAGAAATTAAGAGGCTTACTGTAATATTACAACACAACATGAAGAAAGATGCAATGCATAACCAAAAGCAAATGGTTAAAAGGATTTCACCAAAGTTAACTGATTTGCCACTGATTGGTGGAAATGAAACATCATGTTAGTGTAACATACAGAAATGTTATGTACATATAAAAAAGAGACTGTTTTGTTAAAGGATTAGATTGCTGCTTATTGTTCAAAGCCATATGACTTTCCAGCAGAATTTCCAAGCTGCTCCTCATGACGCATTGAGTCATGTTTGATGTCACTAAAGTCAAAAGTCACTGTTTCTCACATTGATTCTCACGGCCGTTTGCCATGTGCCAAGTTTGAATTTGTGCAAGCATGAATCATACAGCTTCAAGGCCTTTAAGATATTTTATGAAGCTTGTCAGCCTGTTTACTATCTATTACCATTCAAAAGTTTGGAAGACCATTTGGAAGATTTTTTAAAAATGTATTCCTCTGATGGCAATGTTTGTCACATGATCTTTCCTATGAATGTAAAACACTGATTTCCTATTATTTGAAAATAGTTGTGCTGCTTAAAATTTTTGTGGAAATGTTTTAAAGATTCTTGGATTTTTTCAGGAAAGTTCAAAAGTTCATAACCATTTATTTGAAATAGGCCTAGATTTTTTGTAACAATGTAAAAGTCTTTACTGCCACTTTTTAATGAGCACAGTTTATTGCATCCTTGCAAACTGAAAGTGCTGTATATTAATTGATGAAAAAAAATCTTACTGAATCCAAACATTTGATTGGTATTGCATTTTGTTGTACAAAAAAGAGCAGTTTGGACTTTGCTTTTGTGTTGCAGGGAAGACAGAAAATATGGGTTTGGAACGACATGAGGGTGAGTAAATGATCTTCATTGAATTTTCACCAAATCCTCAACTTAAATCTTTACTTACTACTTTAAGGAGTTAACTACTCCTTTAACTACACACATATCAATAAAAAACACACAAAATATAACGGGTAAATTCTACAAGGCTCAAAGCTTACTATTAAGTAGGAAAGGTTTTTCAAGCAGTGTTATGCAACAATGTGAGTTTTGTCGGGCCCAGTAGACTAATGTGATAGCTTGAGGGGAAACTTCCTGAATCTTAAGCATTTGGCACATTTTCAAATGTATCTTGAACTCTTAAAAACCATCCAATAGTTCAACCTACCATTCTTTTAAAGGAAGCCATCTAATCTCTAAGCATTCATGTCAAATGACCCACAGCCTCCTATTCAGTTTGAAATCTTATTATTTTGTCAAAATATACTTGGTAGACATCAAGCTTACAAATCAAAGAAAAATTATGGTAATATTAATCACTTAAATCACAATTAATCACAAAGTTTCTGATGTGACAGCTCAATGACATGAATCGTTATTTCAAATTCTAGGAAGTCAATTACACCTTTGATGAACAGACACATTCCACCACTGAAATAATACTTCATGGGGAAATTATTGGAGGTTCAGTGAGTTTTACTTACAGTACCAATCGAAGTTTGGACGCACTCAACTTGAATGAATCAACTTTCCATGCCTACATATCAATTCTTCTTCAAAACTATAGTTTTTTTAAAACAAATTTAAAGATGTATTGGAACAGATTTTGAAAGAAAGACAGGCAACAAGTGTCCAGCATACATGTGGATGCCTTCAATACAGTTCAGAATTAGGATGCGCCTCATGATTTTGGTTGAGGGAAGCCCAGAGTGTGCAGAGCTGTAAACAGTACCCCTGTAAAGGGCAAAGGGTGGCGACTTTTAAGCTCAAATACAAGATTTAAAATTTTTCACTACATAATTCCAATGCCACCGCCTGTATTCTTTTTTTTTAGTTTTGATGACTTCATTATTATTCTAAAATGTGGAACAAAGTCATAATTAGGTCTGATGAAAACCTACATTAAACAATAATATTGCTTATTGCAGTATTGTGACTTTTCAATTTATTTGTAATTGTTCGTGCACATGAGAGCAGAGTTCTATATTTTCATGATAATGTTGGTAAATGCAAACCAGATTTGCTAAATTCAGTAACCTAACAATAGCATTATCCTATGAATGGGAACATAACATGTTCTAGACTTCTAATACATGGTCATCATCTGCTGTGTTGGGTGGGACAGCTTACCAAGTAACCTGTTACACTATTGCATAACTAATGAAAAAAGTATCTAATTATGTTACATTATTACTTTTTTATGGAACTAATGAAGAAACTGGCTGACTTTTAAGTGTTTATCTGAACATGTATCATGGTCCTAAGGGACTCCACATTTTGGGTACCTCTCACTTTCATTGCAAAGAAAATCTCTGGACTTTTATAAGTTGATAAACTGCGATACATGAAATAAAGGAATCCTCTATTTTAGTAGTTTTTAGATGTTTCACCTTGCATAGTCATCATTCATTGTATTTAAAGATAATGTTGGATTCTGCCAAATTTGGATTGCTTCTCTCAAGTGACAGATAGATTTGCACTAAAATACATTAAGATTCATTGGATACACAGCCTTTAATACCCTACTGATTTTGTGGGGTGGGTTGTGCGATCAGTGGTGGACAGTAACAAAGAATTTTACTCTTAGTACGTATGTAATTTATTTTTTTTTATCAGAGTTTTACTTTACTGCATTCTATAGCATAATGTCTTGATTTTTTACGCCACTTAAAGGGTTAGTTCACCCCAAAATTTAAATTAGGCCATAAATTACTCACCCTCAAGGCATCCTAGGTGTATATGACTTTCTTCTTTCAGACGAATCCAGTCGGAGGTATATTAAAAATTGTCTTTGATCTTTCAAGCTGTTTAATGGCACTCAGTGAGTGTTGCAGTGCTTCAGTCCAAAAGAAGTTAAATAAAAAGCACCCCTGGGGGTGAACAAAGGCCTCCTGTAGCGAATCGAAGTGTTTTTGTAAGAAAAAAAACATATTTAAAACGTAATAATCAATTTAATCTAGCTTGCGCTCACTGTTGTAAACGGAAGCAGTTCGGCGTTGCGCCACTCATAAGTGACGAACGCGGAAGCGCGGGGAGAGATCAAAACAAAGCAATGGTCACTAATTAGAAGTACAAAACGAGGATTTGTAAAGAAGAATGTCGGATTTCAATATAAGCCAAAATGTGCTAAGTTAAGACTTCTTTCACTGTTATTTTCTTGCATCTCACATACAGACGAAGACACATTTCTGTGCTAAGTTAAGACTTCTTTCACCGTTATTTTCTTGCATCTCACATACAGACGAAGACACATTTCTGATGCACGTTTAAATACATCATTAACAACTAGATGTTCAGTTCAGTTCCATACACACTGCGTAGAATTTCTGTAAATGCGGTTGTCACTACCTGTATTTTTCGGGAGTTAATGCAGTTGTAGAATGCGGTTGTCGCTCCCGTATTTTAGTGAATTATGTGTGTACAGAACGCGATTAACGAGTAAAAGGTGAACCGACAACCGAATTTAACTGCAGTGTGTAGAAAGAAGTTAAATAAAAAGCACCCCTGGGGGTGAACAAAGGCCTCCTGTAGCGAATCGAAGCGTTTTTGTAAGAAAAAAAACATATTTAAAACGTAATAATCAATTTAATCTAGCTTGCGCTCACTGTTGTAAACGGAAGCAGTTCGGCGTTGCGCCACTCATAAGTGACGAACGCGGAAGCGCGGGGAGAGATCAAAACAAAGCAATGGTCACTAATTAGAAGTACAAAACGAGGATTTGTAAAGAAGAATGTCGGAGGATTTCAATATAAGCCAAAATGTGCTAAGTTAAGACTTCTTTCACTGTTATTTTCTTGCATCTCACATACAGACGAAGACACATTTCTGATGCACGTTTAAATACATCATTAACAACTAGATGTTCAGTTCAGTTCCATACACACTGCGTAGAATTTCTGTAAATGCGGTTGTCACTACCTGTATTTTTCGGGAGTTAATGCAGTTGTAGAATGCGGTTGTCGCTCCCGTATTTTAGTGAATTATGTGTGTACAGAACGCGATTAACGAGTAAAAGGTGAACCGACAACCGAATTTAACTGCAGTGTGTAGATGCATGTTGATTTTATCAGACGATGTTGCGTTTATAAATGAGAGTGACTCCTGGTTAACATGTATTAATGGGTCATGTTTAGTAACTATTTAGTGTGGAATTTTCTACAATATTCACTCATCATGACAGTGAAATTTGGCATTCTAAGTCAATCTACTGCAGTATTTCCTCTCTCAATCAGTAGAAAATGTTAACACCCGGTCATGCATGAAAAAGAAAACGTCATCATTTTGAAAAATACCGTGATATAAATTTTTGGTCAGCACTAACCGAGAGTATTATGATCCTCCAGTGTGCTGACTACTAATAATTCATAATAATGTCAGACTGAGCTCTAACCTACTTTAGGTCTATTATATCTGAGTGACTGGGACATTAGACCCCTCTCTCTTAAAATAGGTTTTTTGAGCATGAGGATGAAGCACATTAAATTGCAAAAAAATATATAATGATAATAATATGTAGTTCTTACAGATCAGTTCTCTTACTCAAGACGAAATTCAAAAGGAGTACTTATACATTTATAAGTATGTAAGTATGGAGTAATATTTCATCAGGGTATCTTTAAAACAAGTACAGGACTTGTGTACTTCGTCCACCACTGGTCATGACCCACCATTTGAGCTCAAGGCCTTCTGTCTCATTCTGTCAAAGCAATGCAAAGCAAATCCACACAACACAATGGGAGTTCTTACAAAGAATATTGAGAAGGACTGAAGCCTCAGTCTGGCCAACAATGTTCTCGGCACTACAGGTGAGCTCTCTGCCGTTGTCATCAGGTGAAAGTCCACTTAGAGTCAGAATAGACTGCAGCTCCATTTTGTGAGAAATCTGTGAGAAAGAAACCACAACTCTGATCTGATCTGATCTGATTATGTTTAAACATATTTTAAACATTTGGCATGCATGCGCTTTGTGGTTGCCAGGGTATTCTGGGTCATGGTTGCCTGCTGACCAAAGTCAAAAGAGCTCGCACACAAGTCTTTCTACTATTCTAGCACACTGAAAAAAAAATTATACTTTGGATCAACTTAACAAAAAACACTCTAATTTGTTACAGCCAAATGTATTATTTTTCTTAAATTGCGGCATTAACTGGAGCTAAATAATCCAAGTTCTCATTCTACACGTCAATGTATTTAATCTGTCATACAGGCTGTTGTTTTCACCATGGGTGAAGGCTCCTTTAATGTAAGTAGTATAGTGAGCATTTTAAATATTAATGGAAACACAAAGCTTTTACGGGCTAGAGTCAAGCATCTGTGGTTTCAGCGCTGTGATCAATCATGATATTTGAATATTTTTCGGGAGTTAATGCAGTTGTAGAATGCGGTTGTCGCTCCCGTATTTTAGTGAATTATGTGTGTACAGAACGCGATTAACGAGTAAAAGGTGAACCGACAACCGAATTTAACTGCAGTGTGTAGATGCATGTTGATTTTATCAGACGATGTTGCGTTTATAAATGAGAGTGACTCCTGGTTAACATGTATTAATGGGTCATGTTTAGTAACTATTTAGTGTGGAATTTTCTACAATATTCACTCATCATGACAGTGAAATTTGGCATTCTAAGTCAATCTACTGCAGTATTTCCTCTCTCAATCAGTAGAAAATGTTAACACCCGGTCATGCATGAAAAAGAAAACGTCATCATTTTGAAAAATACCGTGATATAAATTTTTGGTCAGCACTAACCGAGAGTATTATGATCCTCCAGTGTGCTGACTACTAATAATTCATAATAATGTCAGACTGAGCTCTAACCTACTTTAGGTCTATTATATCTGAGTGACTGGGACATTAGACCCCTCTCTCTTAAAATAGGTTTTTTGAGCATGAGGATGAAGCACATTAAATTGCAAAAAAATATATAATGATAATAATATGTAGTTCTTACAGATCAGTTCTCTTACTCAAGACGAAATTCAAAAGGAGTACTTATACATTTATAAGTATGTAAGTATGGAGTAATATTTCATCAGGGTATCTTTAAAACAAGTACAGGACTTGTGTACTTCGTCCACCACTGGTCATGACCCACCATTTGAGCTCAAGGCCTTCTGTCTCATTCTGTCAAAGCAATGCAAAGCAAATCCACACAACACAATGGGAGTTCTTACAAAGAATATTGAGAAGGACTGAAGCCTCAGTCTGGCCAACAATGTTCTCGGCACTACAGGTGAGCTCTCTGCCGTTGTCATCAGGTGAAAGTCCACTTAGAGTCAGAATAGACTGCAGCTCCATTTTGTGAGAAATCTGTGAGAAAGAAACCACAACTCTGATCTGATCTGATCTGATTATGTTTAAACATATTTTAAACATTTGGCATGCATGCGCTTTGTGGTTGCCAGGGTATTCTGGGTCATGGTTGCCTGCTGACCAAAGTCAAAAGAGCTCGCACACAAGTCTTTCTA